ATAAAATTTTATTAGGAGGCCAAGAGAATTATTAATTCCAAGTTAAAACGTGAGGGGGGGGAATTTTCACAGCGCCTGCGTGAACTGCAAGCAAGACAGCAGATCCATTTCTTCAGACATTTCTGAAAGGCCAGGAGAATGAGGAATCACCTCACTTTGGGTTGGTTGGGTAGGATGTTCCAAAGGCTGGAGGACAACGGCAGAGAAAGTCCTCTTCCTGGATCCTGCCGGTCGAAATCCTTTAATTTCAGGGTTCCTCCCTTCCTGACCAGTGGGACAGGCTGATATAATGGGGCAAGGATGGTTATGCAATTGATCACCTAAGTGAAGACTGATTGTGGTAGTAAATCATAGAAGTGCACTTTTTGTGAAGGAGGGGTTAACAAGGCTGGCAATACAGCAGCTATAACAAAATGATTGGATTTATGTAGCCAAATGTTGTTTATAAGTTTTCTATGTGTATGGTCCTAAAACTAGCAGCAGAGGGAAAAGTTTCCATGCCTCTACCAGAAAAAAAAGACATATAAATCAATAACTATAAAATTCATTTATGCAGAAACATACCTTTCTTCTCCATTTGAAGTTCTGAAATCATTCTCTTACTGGGGCTGTTGGTTAATGTGTGTTTTCTAGATTACTTCATTGTCTTCTTGATTTTCTTTTTCAAGTTTTACCTGTTATTATTTGTCATGTTTAAAAAGCATCTCTCCAGACAGCTGTCCCTGAGACAAATGGCTGGCAAAAGAAGAGCTAGTAAACTTTATAGGATTTCATTCTTTAGAGCATTTCTAAAATACGAAAGAAAAAGGTTGGCCAGATAATTTGAATTTATTTTCCACCAGCCATAATATGCAATTATTTTTTTTTCTCTGCTGTAAAAATAAAGTATGTTTCTCATTGTAACTTTATTGCAGAGGTTTTATTACAGCTACAGCAGCTGAAAAGTAATTAAGTTTAGCAGTTGGAAATGGACTTTTCACCAGATATGAAAGAAATTCAACAATTTCTCACATTTAACTCATTGAAAGGAGGGGGGAGGGGGGAAGGACAGGGAGAGAGTCTCTACTAAATATTTAAAGTTTCCTCAACAAAACGTATCTTGAGTATGATCTATAACAGTGTTTTTCAAACTTGGCAACTTTAAGATGTGTGGGCTTCAACTCCCAAAATTCCCCAGCCAGTGTTGGGCTAGAAAGTTGAAGTTCCAATGTTAAAGTTGCCAAATTTAGTTAGAGTCAAGATCATGTGAAGTATTGCCACTATACAAAACCATAGTAAGACCACATCTGGAGTATTGCATTCAGTTTTGGTCACCCAATTATAAAAAAGATGTTGAGACTTCGGAAAAAGTGCAGAAAAGAGCAACTAAGATGATTAAGGGCCTGGAGACTAAAACATATGAAGAACGGTTGGAAGAATTGGGTATGGCTAGTCTAGAGAAAAGAAGAACTAGGGGCGACATGATCAGTGGTGGGCTGCTGCCGGTTTGGGCAAACTGGTAATTCTGACCAGCGGCTGGACTACCCACCTACGCTGGCGCTATCATGTCTTATATAATTACCAGTTTTTCAATGCCACGTGCATGTGCGGAAGGCACTCGCTCACATTTTCGGTTCTGGGCAAACCGATCGTTACAATATCTGATGCCCACCTCTGGACATGATAGCAGTGTTCCAATATTTGAGGGGCTACTACAAAGAAGAGGAGGTCAGCCTATTTTCCAAAGCACCAGAAGGCAAAACCAGAAACAACGGATGGAAACTAATCAAGGAGAGAAGCAACTAGAACTAAGGAGAAACTTCCTAACGGAGAAAAATTAACAAGGGGAACGGTTTGCTTTCAGAAGTTGTGAGTGCTCCACCACTGGAGGCTTTTAAGAAGAGACTGGACAACCATTTGTCTGAAATGATATAGGTGTTCTGTCCCTGTCTCACACACGCACACAAACAGTCAGCCAGGAGTTAAATAAAACTTGCAGACAATAAATTCCTTTGATAACAGGATTGGCAGCAACCCAGTAGCTGCTTGCCAAGAACTTTACTCACAGAGGGAGGTGTTCCTCCTCTGTCAGATAAACCAAAACAAATACACAAAGCCACAGAATTGTCAAGTTCAGTCCGTATTAAATCCAAGGCAGGCAGATAACGTAGTTTCAGAGATACAATGCGACTCACTAGTTGTTTAGTTTTGTCTGTCACAGAGCCTGAATGGCCATCACACCCCCTTTTATCCCCTGTGGGGTGTGGTCCAGTGACTCAGCTTAATCTCTGGCACACCTCCTTCTCTGCTGCGTGCGCTTGTCTCTCCGACGCTGGCGTGGATCCAGCCAAGACTTATCTCCGTCACTCTCCAACTGCGACTGCTCGGCGATACCTGGCTCCTGGCCAATCTCTTCTCCTTCGAGAGACACCTGAGGCATTGCCGGAGAGGAGGGTCCTGGAGAGGGAGGCCTGGCCAACTCCTCTCCTTCACTTTCGGAGCCTTCTCCCACCGATAAGATGGGCTCAGGGTCGGAGTCACAACAATAGAGTCTTCTGCTTGAGCAGGGGGTTTACTAGAAAACCTCAAAAGTGCCTTCCAACTTTTATTCTGTAGCTTTGAAAAGCACTGATCTACAATGTGGACTGGGTTTTAGAAAGGTTTAGTACAGCCCGGTTAACTTAATATAGACATGAAATACATTGCAATATTTGGAGGTATTGAACTCTGTCAAAAGAGTTCCTCAAAGAAGCCAAACAACACAAAGCAAAAATCCATTGAGCACTATCTAGTTTAAAAGTCACAGCATGGTATGGCATTCCTGTTGCAGTCTGGAGAGAACCCCATGGGGCAGTTGAGAAGGAAAGCCACACAGTGTGTAGCACTAAAATCTAAAGAGCTGAACCCCAGGAAAAACATTCATCCGATAAAATATGCTTGAGTAGGCATGGCTCCTATCTTTAACTGCAAATTCAGATTGAGCTTGCTAACCTAGGAGGCAAAATGCTATGCAGCCGAACCAAATTGAACATTATTACTTTGGGACTGAATGTAAAATGGATTTGGGTGGGGGGGAAAAAATGAGTGTTACATTCTTTATGCAGAGAGATCTAAGTGACATCACACTGTGAGACCGAAATTGCAAATGCCTCAGTTCTCAGTCATAGAGAAAGCACGGACTAAGCTATACTTTTTGGCCTTGGCAAAATCAAACTGCTTCAATAGCACATTTGACAGAACTTTGTAGTAACTTAATTCATCTCTACGCCAGTCATTAAGGCGACCTATTTGTGCAAAGCTTTTGCGGAGGCAGTCCGGTTTTGTGGCTTTTAACAGATGGTTTTAAATTGGGAAAGGAAGGGGCTGCCTTCAGTTTTTCTAAGCTTTGTCTTCACTTACTATGGTTTTCTTTTCTTTCGTTCCTTAAATTTTGAGGGTAAAATTCAAGCCCTTGCGGCCTGAGATGAAGTGCTGTTGAACTCAGTGGGTTTTAATTTCCGAGTAGATATGGCAAACCTACTTACAGTAATAAATAAATATATAATAAATACATGCCAAGTTCAGCTACATTAATCACCATCTCTTAAAATGACGGGCAAATGCAGGTAAAAGTTGTCTTTGTTACTAAAATCCCTGCTGAGCAGAATGGTGCCTTAGACTTCTATTTCTAGTTCCAACGAGTTATTGGTAGATCTTTCAAACTTAATAGAATTCTGCTTGATTATTCATTTTCATGCAACAGGATTAGTCTCAGCTGGAAATCAAGTTTGATATACCGGTATATATATATATATATTTATTGGCAAAGTTATCTGCAGAGCTGGTAGGGCTTGTTTCCCCCCATGGCTCCACCTACCAGTTGTTAATCCTTCCAAGATGTAAGCATCTTTCTGCTGTAAAGTAGAATCTTCCAGTGAGGTTCTCCTTAAAAGAGGCAGCGTGAATATTACAAAGTTTTGCTTTGTAAGTTTAGAACCAGTTCCTGCAGTAGGGATCATTCTGTATCCCTCTATATATTCCCTGCATGATTTAAGAACCCTGGAAAGTGAAGGGCAGAACTTTTGCAAGGACCCTTCACGGGTAAATAAAGAACTTCCCCAGGTACTTATTTATTCCACAATATGGAAAGGTCCATGCCAGGGGCTAAATCAGTGTGTGGAATTCGTTGCTTTCCAGATATTATTGAATGTCAGTTTTTAGCCTGCATGGCTAGTAGGGAGGCAACCTGGTTAGATCAGTAGGATTTGAATGGCAAAGGGTTTTCTATCTCTGAGGTAAGTACAGTATAGTCTTATAATAGTCTTTTTCTTTTCCCTTTTCCCTTTGCCTTTCCTACTTTCCTCCCCTCCCGTCTCCCCTCCCATCTCCTCTCCTCCCGTCTCCTCTCCTCTCCTGCCATTGTTGACTCCTGCCAATTGCCTGAACTAATCCCTACAGTTTTCTTGGCAAGGCTTCAGAAGTGGTTTGTCTGCCTGCTTCCTGGGGTTAAGAGAGCATGACTACTAGTCCAAGGTCACCCAGCTGGCTTCATCTCTAAGGCGGGACTAGAACTCACAGTCTCCTGGTTTCTTAACCACAACCCCCAAACTGCCTCTCATACCATCTTCAAATTGCTTCTTTACTACCTGATCAGAGCCCTCGTTTTTGCATATTTTCAGTGCTCTTATTCCTGTAGCCCCTCTACTGACATAAGCTTGCTAACAGGGAAATATCTTTTTAAGAAAGGAGATGTGCTGTTTTATTCCAATCAGGCACAGAAGTTGCAGCCTACAGTTGGGAAATCAAGGCAGGCCAAAAGACGGTCTCCTTCTTTGACTGTCTCTTAACTCATTCTCTTTCCAGACAATGGCTATCGGCCATTAATCTTGAGCTTTCTACCTTGATTTGGCACTGAGCAATAGATGTTTTTGCTGTCCTGCACACCGCCATTGCCTCAATTAAAATTCACAGTGTGTAGCCCAAACAAGCAGCGCTGTTGACAGTTTATTTTCTCCCCCTCCCCCCCCCATCTCTTTTCACAGAAACTGAAACAGAAGAATCAACAGCTGAAGCAAATCATGGATCAATTGCGGAATCTCATTTGGGACATAAATGCCATGTTGGCAATGAGGAACTGAATAAGTTTTCCTTCTGTCTCATTGTGATATTTGATGTTGTTTGTTACAGAAGAATAACTTTTTAACGAAGAGCACGGGTATTCGATTGTACCTTAAATAATCATGTATATATTTGTTATACTTCAGTTATGTATATTTAAGCCTTGGAAGTTCTAGGCAATGGATAAATTCAATGTAAGCTTTAATTTTCAGATCCAAGATGGTCAACTTTTATTTCTGAGGTTTGGCCAATAGTTTCTTTTATATGAAAATAGTATAAAGTTTATTTCATGAAGAAAACCAAGTAATAGTTTGTCTTAGAGCAGAGGTCTTCAAACTTGGCAGCTTTAAGACTTGTGGACTTCAGCTCCCAGCATTCTCCAACCAGCTATGCTGGCTGGAGAATTCTAGGAGTTGAAATCCACAAGTCTTAAAGCTGCCAAGTTTGGGGACCCCTGTCCTAGAGAATGCATGCTTGTTCTCAACAAGAAGTGAGCTGGAATAAATAAGGTAATTCTGATTTCATCTTCATAACACTGCCTAGTGTGTACCAATCTGCGCGACCAACTTACTGCTAATGACTGAAAGCCGGGCATTCAAATAGGAAAGAGGAAAATGTCAAGGAAAACTTTAGCAGACTGGAGAATGTTTTGGTTTTAGCAATGGCGGATAACGATTTGAATTTCATTTTCTTTTCTTTTTTTAAACAAAAATATATATTTTTTTTGGTCTTAATTTAAAATAATTTCCAGCGGTGTCGCCTTCTTTGTTTGTTGCAATTAAAATGGAGAAATAAACGTGAAAGCACAGCTGACTTCAGAATTATAAGAGGCCATCCATGTTGCATCACAAATGGGATCAGAACAGGACAACAGAGGGCACCCCTCCTCTTACCCCACCCCACCCCAAGATGGTCAGAAATGTTTCAGAACAAAATACTAGCCTCCATCAACCTACCACCGTAACATCATAAAAATGATTTTTTTTTTCATTACAGTTAACAGATGACATCCTGCCTGACCTTAATAAATACATTCAAGATTGCCTTCTTAATCGGATGCCTTTTAAAGTGCCTAACACTATTTTGGTAGGACTTTCTGGAAATGGAATGTCTTTGATATATTTTTAAATGCATTGAGCCCTTTTCATCCAAAAGGGAAAAAAATATTGCTATGTATCTTTTACCGCAATTCTGTTGGGGTTTTTATCCCCTCTTTTTGGTCCTTTCTAGAGATGGTAACAACTTTCTTTCAGGAGTCTAAACCAGCTAGAATAGGGGTGTCAAACTCAAGGCCCGGGGGCTGGATTTGACCCTCGGGGTGCTTAAATCTGACTCGAGGGGCCGCCCTGGAAACAGCAAAGGACCAACCCGCGGTGCCTCTGCCAGTGAGCTCTGTTTTTACTGGCATAAGTTTGCAAGTGGCCTTCGCAGCCGAAAACAGAGCTCGGGAGCCCGTTTTTGCTGGCAGAGCCCTTGGGCCACCAGAGACGCCCCCAACACGAGTGCCGTTGGCCCCACAAGGTCAAACACAACCCTGATGCGGCCCTCAATGAAATTGAGTTTGACACTCCTGAGCTAGAATGCTTCCTTTTTAAGTATGGTTAGATCAGAAGCTCTTCAGTCTGCCGAGACCTCCTTCTGACTGGTGAGATATAGAGATTGAAAAGTAGTTGGACATTACACTTGTGGAATGAAGACCATCTCACTGTTGTCCCTTGTTACCCAAACCCCAAGTTTTATTGACTTACGGAATCTAGGAATTCCATTCGGGTGTTACCCATTTGTTGGAACTGATAATTCATTGAGATGCATTCTCCATGTGTTTGGGTCCAATCACTGCCATCCCTAAGTATCGGTCAAGGATGGTGGAAAATACACTCCCATTTCCGTGGAATGCACCAAGTTGAAGCAAACGAATGCCAGCCACTGTTTAGCAGGCCCTGTGATTTGTACCGATGCTTTCACAGCCTAAGAAGCCAAACAGTTAATTTGCCAAGACAAACCTTTTATCTTGTTTGGGGGTGAAAACTGGCAGCCGATATATTTCTTCAGTTGTTTAAAAAAAAAAAAAAAAAGATGGTGTGATCAGAGAAAAAATTCCCTCTTATTTGCAACTAAAGTATATACAAATCAAGATGTCTGGATGCTATGCCTGGAAGTGCTGTGGGAATTTGTAAACAAACCCTCTGACAACTAATTTTATGGAATCTGAAATAGCGAAGGAAGGAATGAAACGGCAGACAAAAATAAATGATTCTTTTAAAATTGCCATTAGGTAACTTGCTATTTAAACCTACAATTATTTACTCAGAAGTAAACCTCCCTGATTCCGGTGGGATTACACCTAGGGAAGGTGTGCTGGATTGGGACATCTTTCATATTTATTCACTCTAATAGGATGTAGAAAGAAAGAATCACCTAGGGCAGAACTCAAAATGTTAATAAAGCAGTAGCTCCATTGCACTCAATTGCAAGGTTTTGGATTTATAGCAGCGTAACTGGGAGCAGATTTTGACTTCATTTGTTTATTCATAAGACACAGATCTTACTAGACAAAGAGCTATGCATTTCCACCTAGTCATTTTATGTTCCAAATGCTAACGGGATAAGCTTGCACAAAGAGCATAATATATCTGGAACAAGTGCACCCATTTATTTGTTTGTTTCATTTATACTCTTCCTTTCCCTCCGGGAGCTCCAGGCAATATGCCCTGTATTCATTTTCATGTAGTTTTCTCTCTGACACCAATTTTGTGGGTTCCGCTATCCAAGAGTGAGTGACTAGTTCATTCACTCAGTGAGCTTTCATAGCCCAAAGTGGATTTGATTCTGGTTTCTTCCAGACTATGTACAACATCTCCATCCCTATCTCACACTGGCTCTCAACATCCCTTCCAACACATAAAAGGGGGTTATTAGTGCAGAATTCTAGGCCTTGTGATTTGAATCAACATAAATAATGAAATGTTTCATTGGGATGTAAAATCAAGATTTTTATAGCGCTCTGAGCTTGATTGTTTGCTTTCCGAGGTATCATTGCCCAACTAGGTAACTTCCATCAGCACTTTTGATGTTGCCTAGTCGGATAATGACCTGTCTATAAGTAAGCACCCAAACTCAGAGAGCACCAAGGACCCCACAATTCAACCCTGAGCTACAGATAATCTCTTCTATTTTTGTAGTTTGCTGTTAGGGCTTAATGAATTCAGTGTTTCACTACTTTGGCTTCAAAAGTCTTTGGCCTCAAGAATTTTTTCAGCCTGCTTCTACTCAACAAATCAAATTGAAGACATAAGTGTCTATATTTTGTATTAATTTTACCTATGGATACCTAAAAACAATACTCTGAGTCAATAGTAAGCAATTGCAAAATGATGGATAATTTATGAACCCATACCCTGTATTAAATCCATCTTTTATGCCAAATATGCAATAATGCAATCTGATGAATACTTCTTCAGCTGTTAAACTCAGTGGGTCTTGCTTTCAGCTAAGTCTTATTAAGATTCCATCCTTAAGCTATGTTTTTGTACTAAGATGAAAGGTGTGCTATGGTCAGAATGTCCCAGCTGGAGACACCTGGCTTTAGATTTCCATTGACCCTTAATGTGCACTGATTCATTGGATCAATCACTGCCTCACAAAAATGGAATGGATTGCTTTGAAGGGCAAAATCTAAATGGAATAAAGAGAGCTAGAGCCAGTTATTCTGATTTTGAGAGGTGGCTTTTAAGAGATTCCATCATAATAGCAGAGAATTGCCGTCATGCTGTGGTGAGAAAACAGATTACTTTCTATAGGAGGAATGGTCAACCTTGGCAATTTTTAGACTTGTGGACTTCAACTCCCAGAATTCCCCAGCCAGCTGTGAAAAATTCTGGGAGTGGAAGTTCACAAGTCTTTAAAATGTTGCCAAGGTTGGACACCTCCTTTCTTTAGAGAGACTTTATTTTTTTTTCCAATTTATTTATTTCTTAAGCATGTATGAGAAAATAAGTATAAGTATGAACATAACATATAAACATAAGTATAAACAGGTATAAGTATAAACATAAATGAGTACAAATAAACGGGGACAGTAGGACATGGACGGTAGGCATGCTGGTGCGCTTATGCACACCCCCTTACAGACCTCTTAGGAATGGAGTGAGGTCCACCAGTAGACAGTTTAAGGTTGAAGCTGTGGGGGTTTGAGGATGTAACAACTGAGTCGGGTAGAGCATTCCAGGCGTTGACCACTCTGTTGCTGAAGTCGTATTTTCTGCAATCAGGTTTGGAGCAGTTTACTATGAGTTTGTATCTGTTGTTTGCCAATGTATTATTGCGGTTGAAGCTGAAGTAGTCATTGACAGGTAGGACGTTGTAGCAGACAATTTTGTGTACTAAGCTTAGGTCAGACCATAGGCGGTGTAGTCTGGTGGCATAGGGTATTGTATTGTGAGAAGAAGAGTGGAGTACTCTTCTCGTGAAATACCTCTGGGACTTGTTCAATTGTATTAATGTCCGATATACAGTGTAGATTCTAGGCAGAGGAGCTCTATTCGAGAATTGGTCTGGCAAAGGTTTTATATGCCCTGGTTTGCAGTACATTGTTACTGGAGAAGAAGCTTCACAAATTTAGATTAACAACTCTTAATGCCTTTTTGGCAATGTTGTTACAGTGAGTTGCATTCCCATGAAAAGGTTGGTGTGTTTGGCAACCATCTGCAATGTAATGTGGTTAATGGAATGTTGACTTGCTGTATGTTCCTCTCTGGAGTTTCTCCAGAAACTTTTTTTCCCCTTAATATATGAGGTTTTGTTGCAATAGGGATACAACACCTCACTGATAGCACTAGCCTCTATTCCTCTTTGCAAAACTTGAAAGCTAAGACTTATGGAAATTCCTCCGATTGGTTCTAAGGCTAAGCCCTTTTGGTTTCTGCCATCAAATCAATCTCCCTAAGCCTTCCAGATAGTGGCAGTCTGCTTTAAAGCGAAGAATATAGTGTCTGAAGACAATTATTCACACCAGCAAGCTACTTATCAACTAGCAGCTGCAACCGATGTTGCAGAGTTTCATATCCATGTTGAAATAGCCAAAGCAAGCCATTGACTTCTTCAGAACTAACAGAGGACTCTTCTCAAAACCCAAATGTAGCAAATGAATCTTATTTCCAAACTCAGAATATTGGAGACCACAAAGGGCTCCCTTCTTGAGCAGGGCCTTGGGTTAGAAGACCTCCAAAGTCTCTTCCAAATCTTTTATTCTGTTATTCGGGCATAAGAAAACCTTGGACGGTCCATACTAAGGACATTCTTGTCCAGGCTTTGTTTCCACCATGGCCAATTAACTGCCTATGGAAAGCCCAAGAGCAGGATCTGACAGCAAGCTCTGCGTTCCCTAGCAACTGGTTATCAAGAGGCCTTCCCTCTTTGATGCTGGATGTAACATGGCCATTTTGAGAAGCAGTTATTGAAAGTTTTTTCTCTCCTCCAAGAAATATATAAAGCTGCTTCGCGCAGAGCTGTTTCATGATTTTCCACTGAATGGCCCAGTTTTCTAAGATTTTAGACCAGTTAAATCTGAGACTCACATGAAGTCCCCTTCTATACCTTGAGCTATACCTAGGAAAGGGTAAAAAAGTGGGGGGGGGAACCCAAGAGGAATAAGGTAATTTAGAAGCTACGGGATCAGAAATGTTCCTAGCTCTGAAAAGTTTGGAAATGACTGTCTGTACTGTTGAAAAGGAAGAGATGAAAATTCAAAATAATTAACAGCATTTCCAGAGGATTTTGCAATGTGCATCATTGTCTAGTCAGATCTACAAAGTCATTACAAGACTTACAAGGTACAAATTAGCTGCCGTGCTGGTCACTAGGATGCTGTCAGAACCATTCAGTTTAATTTTAAAACCTAAAATAGATTTTGCTGCTTGTCTCTTAGCCTATTAACACCACTGTCATCGCAACAAAGCTGTCCATTTCTCTCTAGGTCCCGATGCATTTCTTCTGTAGAAAAGGACATTCTCTCTTGGTGCATCTAGATTTAGATTCTCCAGTCCCTTTGGAC